TCATTAATGCTTCTGATGCACGGAAAGACGGATGTCTTTTGCAAACCCTAAACCCTAAACCCTAAAGGCTTCCATTTGGATTCCGAGAGCTTCGGCCAGATGCCTTGAGGCATCGCCAGCTTGTGGTTGGCAGCATCGCAAATGGAGGGCTCTCGGTTTAGGGTTTAGGGTTTAGGGTTTAGGGTTTAGGGTTTAGGGTTTAGGGTTAATTTAGTTTGTAGCCCCGGGTTCAACTGCGGCATCTTCGTACTTTACATCCCTGGCATGCCCTACCCGTAAAACAGGGTAGCCCTTCAAGCTAAATCCTAAGGCCTACAACCTACGGAACCTGCAGGCCGATAAATCCTGCGCGAACTCTAAACCGCATGCAGGGTGCGCCACCCCAAGCCCCGAAGCCTCGATATAGAAGCCTCAATAGTTACCAATAGTTTACCTTATAAGGCTCCTTATTAAAGTAATACTATAAAGGGGCCCAAAACCCTATTCTAAGTATGAAGACCCCTAAGCCCTAAACCCTAAACCCGAAGGACCCCGAAGCCTTAAACCCGAAGCCCCCTAATCCCGGTATCTTGCAAGGTCGAGAGCTTGAAATGGAAAGCCCGCTCCGAGCCCGGCACTTGCCGAAGCTAATATAGGGGCCTTATTAATAATTAGAATAGGGTTTAGTGTTAGGGTTTAGGGTTTAATAATTAGAATAGGGTTTTGGGGTATAGTACACAAAAACTATAACAAGGAACCTCCACAATTTAGTATTGGGTTCAGGACTGGGTTTTTGGGGTATAGTACACCAAAACTAGAACAAGGAACCTCCACCAACAGTATTGGTAATGATTTAGGCTTCTATATTATCTGCGTAGGATTCTCAGGGTATAGGGTTAAAGTTTACTTGTGGGGTTTAGGGTTGCTACGAGGATTTTTTAGATGTCGTCCGGTTGACCGTCAGGGTTCCTAGCTTCCTGATAGGAATAGGGTTTAAAGTCTATGGTTTAGGGTTCAGGAAGAGAATCACTGCAACCACAGTTTTGACGTTATCTAAACCCTAAACCCCCAAACCCTAAACTCTGAACGCATGGCGCGCAGTTATGTTTTTTGGGTTCAGGGAGGGGTTCGGAAGTCAGCCCCAGGATTGTCGATGAAGACTGCCATGCCAAAGTGGCCAAGCTGATTTGGGAGATTAAGAGAATGTAGGGGCCTTAATGATTTGAATAGGGTTTGGGTGTATATTATACTTCAAATAAGATAAGGAACAAAAACTCATTCTAATGATTCAGGCCCCTGCATTTGTGCAGGCATCTGGGGACATAGTAACTAGGGTTGTAAGAGTGTTGTAAGCAGGGTAGCTATATATAATTGTGCATACGTATCGCCCTAATTACAGAGCTTCGAATAATTTTGAGTAGTCCTTGATAACTATACAATGGCACACTCCAGTTGTACTGTAGCTATGCTGCGACATGCTGCAGTTAAACTTCAGTCATACGATAACCGTACTCTTTTAACATACACAAAGGCGTTGATCACATGGGCGGCTATGTGGAGGTTCAGGTGTAGTTAGAAGTGGGGTTTATAAGCCGCTTAACTATGATTATAACCCATATTAGGGGACTTACCCTAAGAGTCCATGTGTCCAAATAGTAGATACCTTGGCCCCAAAGTTGCCAAATAGGGACTACTTTATGGCCAAAGTATATGCTATTTGGGTACATGGACCCTTGGGGTTAGAACTGCCCATGAGCATCCAAGTAGATAGGACAGCCAAGCTTACCATGGTTTTGCGGTTTTCGGCTTTGGGATTGCTGTTCCATTCCCACAGGTCCTCACTACCGCTATGGGGGATATTTAGCCAAACCAGAATAGTAGTTGTTTCTATAGACTCCTTACATTCTACCATAGAGGTACTTAGGACCTAGTGGGTTTTGACTTCAACCAGCTTTTGTTGAGCAGGGTTCTGTTCTGTAACAAGGAAGTAAGGTGACCAAGCAGCAACGGATGCAAGTCCCTGAGCCCGCAACCATAAACAGTTCATGATCATATTCAGGGGTTGGTTAACCCTAAACCCCAGCGTCGAGGGGCCTATTCAGGGATTCAGGGCAGTTGCTGAGGGCATTTGAGGGCATCGGTAATTCAGACCTCCCGATATGTTTTTTTTTTGAGCGCCTCCTTATTAAGATCGACAGATGCGAAATGGGGCTTGAACTTCTGTGGAACTTTTCGAGGTGTTACCGGCAAGGCTATTTGTGCACCGGAAGATAATGAGAAAGAAACGCAGGTGGCAGCATGGTCCTTGTGCTTGGATGTGAGTGTGTGTGTGTATATATATATATATAGTGTATGACATATATGCAGATACATATATGGTACATATGTATGTATGTTCAAGCATGTGCTTCTGTACATGTGTATGTGTATATATGTATGTGTATGTATGTGTGTGTATGTGTATATATCTACACATACACATACACATATGTACATATATAATATAATATATATATATATATATATGTGGAGGGGTCCTTTATGTATCATTTGACCCGGCTATTGGGTGCATGATATGTACTACACATGCCAAGCCAGCTTGCTAACCACGTTCACAGATAATCTT